AGTATCCTGTCCCAATTCCACACCTTTGCCTTTTCCACTTTTTCCCCAGACCCCAAAGCTCATCATATTTCTTAGTATGATATGTTCTTAGGCTCCTCTACTGCCTGGCTCTTTGTCTTCTACTGAACCATCCTCAAAGCCCCCATCCCAGCCCTGATTTCTTCTACCTTCCCCGTTCTATGATCACTCTGAGAGACTCTGAGTTCTGTCCATAATTCCAAGCCCTGACTTGTATAACTAAACCTATCAAGTTACTCCTTGAGGAAAAGGGAAATTAAAGGGCAAATGAGTCAACATTTCTTCCTGCCACACTCAAAACTAAGACAAATAACTATCTTTAGCCGGGCAGTGGTGGCACACTCCTTTAATCCCAACCCTTGAGAGTCAGAGGCAGGTGGATCTCTGAGTTTGAGGCTAGCCTGGTCTACAGAGTAAGTTCCAGGACAGCCAGGGCTACACAGACAAATCCTGTCTCAAAAAGCCAAAACTAGAGCCAAACCAAAATTAAGACCAGAAACTATCTTTGTCTCCCCCTCTTCCTATGCCTCCTCCTCCTTCTTGTTTTTTAAAGATAGGTTTTTATAGCCTAGGCTATCAGGTGTTGTGACAGGACAAGAGAGTACAGAGTTTCCTACATTTTCTGTTTTTGCTAAGGGCATTTTAGATTTGACTAGAATTTGATCTCCTTGATTGGGAAGCCCTAAGGAAAATTATCCAACCTGAGGTCAAGATGCCCCAGTTAACTTATTTTAGCTTCTGTCAAACCATTTGTTTGTGCAGAAATCCCACCCCTCCAGCTAACTGCTTATCTTAGCTTCCGTTAATCTGCTTGCTTGCACAAAACCTCCCCTGCAGCTGCCAAGGAAGATACTAGTATGTGATTTTTGCTTTTAAAAATCCCTTTCTCTATCCAGGTGTGGTGGCACATGCCTTTAGTCCCAGCACTCAAGACGCAGAGGCAGAGGCAGAGGCAGGTAGATCTTTGAGTTGAAGGCCAGCCTGATCTACACAGTGAGTTCCAGGATAACCAGGGCTACACAGAGAAACCTGGTCTTGAAAAGGAAACAAACAAATCAAAACCCACAAACAAAACAAGACAAAACAAAAATCTAATTGGCAAAAGATTGTGTCTGTGTGGTCTTCTCTGGTGGGCACCCCATAACAATGTCTTGTCTTGAACCAATCAGAATTTAAGCTCATTAGTTTTCAAGTTGGCCCATATTTCTCATTATTGAGAGTAACATGGGCTATTTTTTTCTCCAAAACATAAATACAATTCATGGAGAAATGAACAAGAGTGAGATTAGTTACCGATGGAAGAGACAATGAATTTCATAGAGATTATTAAAATGTGTGTACAGGTACCCACAGAGGCCAGAAGAGGGCATCTGATCCTCTGGAGCTGGAGTTACAGGTGGGCCATCTGATGTGGGTACTGGGAACAGAACTTGGGTCCTCTAGAAGATCAGGAAGTGTTCTTAACCACCGAGCCATCTCTCCAGCTCCAGTTTTGTTCATTTTTTTTTTGTTTTTTGTTTTTTTTGGGTTTTTTTTGAGACAGAGTTTTGCTATGTAGCTTTGGAGCCTGTCCTGGAACTCACTCTGTAGACCAGGCTGGCCTCAAACTCACAGAGATCCTCCTGCTGCTGCCTCCCGAGTGCTAGGATTAAAGGCATGTGCCACTACCACCTGGCAGTTTTGTTCATTTTTATTTGATGAATTTTTTTGTGACTTTAAATAATGACAGGTACTTATGCAGAACACTGTCTAGTATGGAAGGGAGCATTAATAATGGTATAGCACAGTGTTGGGAAGGTTAGAATGGGAAGTATTGTTTGTTAGGAAACCATGTAGCAGGGGGGATGGGATGGACTTCTCAGACAGGGAAGGCCTCCCCTCATGTTTAAGTGAGTAACTGCAATCTGAGGCATTTGGTAGGAGAGAGGTGAGTTAGTATAGTAGAGAGTGGTTCACACTTCAGAATCCTGCGAGGCTTGCATGTGAGTTAAGTCTTTTTGCATCACAAATCATCACCAGCTTAGCAGCTGGAAACAACAAGCTTTGATGGCAACAAACTCTGAGAATTTGGGTGTTAAGAGTCCAAGGATGTCTATCTCCCTTTGATAAGGGCTTTTAGCACAGAATCTTTCAGAGATTGCAGTGGGGCGTGAATCAAGGTCTCAGGCCAGAGCTATGCTACCTCCAGGTCATACAGTGGGAGCAGCTGCTTCCAAACTGTGAGGGAGAGGAGAAAGAAGGGGAGTGGGAGCAGGAAAAATGAGGGAGGGAGGAGAGAGAGGGAAGGGAGAGGGGAGGGGGAGGGAGGGAAGGGGAGAAGAAAAAGAGGGGAGGGAAAAGGATGCTAGGCATGCTGGTACATTTATTACAACTCATGAACCAATATATATGATTATCAAACACATTTAGTCTAGAGTCCAGGATACCTTAGTTTTTAAACCTAATATTTCCTTTTCTACTCCAGAATTCCATCCAGGATAGTACATTGTATTTAGTTGTCATAATTTCCTTGGGTTCCTTCTGCCATGCCACCTTCTCCAATTTTCCTTGCTTTTAATGGCCTTGATAGTTTTGAGGCATGCTGGTCAGGTATTTTGTAGTTTTCTAACCTAACCACTGAGTGTAATTTCATCACTTCGGACCATAATCTGTTTGTTAGAGGCTACCACAAACCTAGCCCACATTCAGGGGAGGAGGATTAAGCTGTATCTCTTGAAGGCAGGAGTATCAAAGAATTTGTGGTCAAGTCCTTGGGCCTCCCCTCCAAGGTGTTGGTTTCAGTAGGACTGTGATGGAGTCCAAGGATGTGCATTTCTAACAAACTTCCAGGTACGGCTGCTGTGAATGGGCTAGAGATTTCATTAAGAATCTTCTATGCAAGACCTCATTGTGCACCACAAGCTGGAAAAACAGAGATGATTCAAACTCAAGTGATAATTACCACTGAAATCAACTCGCTTTAGTTTCTAGATTAACCCTTATGATGCACAAAAGAGGACCCAAAGTGCCTTATATTTGCATTAGATATGATTTATTTTATTAAATTGTCACAAATGTAAGGGAGAGAAGTCATACATCTCCACCTGACATTAAAATAACTGAGACACAGAAAGGCTAAGAGACTAGTCTTAGGTCACACAGCATGCTAATGATAGGCTCAAGTTTCGGGCTGAGTCGTGTGAGGCATGGACCAGCACAAGTTTCCATTATGCAGGCCTCTTTCACATTTTCCCAACTTTTAGGACTGTGACACTTTTTAGAGAAGTATAAAATTAGGCACACTCATTTTAAGTAATTAAAAACAGCAGAATAAATAGCTTTAAAGTAGCAGTTTGTGCAGCAGAAAAGGAAATTACGAAAAAGTTGCTGAGTAAGTTCAGAAAGATGTCACATAGGTGGAAAACCTCTCTCCCCACCAACACCCAACTTTTCCCTTCTTGGTGATCTTCATCCATAACTGCTACTAGTAAAACTCCATCAGTAGGCAGCACCCAAGAAAGTGAGTAGACAGCCACAGGCCGTACCTTCTTTTTGTCTGCCCATACATTCCAACTGCAGTCAGTGCTGTGCTCTGTTGGTAAAACTGCCCTTTAGAAAGATTACTAAGTCTGTTTAGGCTTTTCTTTGAATGGAAAAGACAGAATAGTCCAGGTACAAATCATAGTTGTACTTGGACTTCGGGAAATATGGGAAGACCACAGGATATCTCTGAATGCATGTGCTATTTTTCTTTAAATTCAGATAGACTTGCAATAATTTTATGAAGCAAAGAAATGGGTACATAAACACCCAAATGAAGGCATAAAAGTTTTACACTAATAATCGGATTAAGAAGGTTTTTTTTAACCTTTCTTTGTAATTGATGTTTATACATTATCAAAAATTAAGTCAATGTTTGATGGTAATGGTTAAAGCAAGCAGTATTTTATATAGCCACATTAGGAAATCCCAATTTCATATACTGGGCCATGAATTCAAGTTCACTATCATGCAAAGAAAATCCAGCACAGTGTAAACATAGATACCTGCTCCCAAATAGTGGTGAAACTGAGTCAGGGTTCTATGGTGGTTAAGGGGTTGTGAAAGAATGTTCAGTGGCTGTAATTTGAGCCTTTCCAGTGGATTGTATGTGGGGACAGAAGGGGAGCAATGAAATAACTATGATGAATTCCATCCAACTGCTTTGGGGAGAGGGACTCTAGGAAGTATGGAAATCAAGTGTTAATGACTTTTATTTATAATGCATTCCTTCAAAGGTGGTAGTAGTGAGAGGGGCGTGAAATAGAGTTAGTGACCTAAGGATCTTGTGCAGTTATTGGCTCAGGGGGTTACTGGAGGTATAGAGCCAGGAACCGCAGCCAGTGACGTAACAATCCTTTTTGTAACAATTGGCCCAAATGAATTCACCAGAGTGAAGGTGGGCCGAAAGGGAGCAGATCTCCTGAGACCAGGTTAACTGATATTACAATGAATCCTGCCCAGTGGCCAGGGGTGGGGGCGAATCAGTAGCTTCCATTTAATTCTGTGCTTTACCAGTATTGTTGGAGGGGATAAAACAAACCATGTAGTTAAGGGGTAAAGAATGTGAAAAAGCATAGGACTGCATGCAACAACTTAAAGCAGAGCAGTCAGCTGATCTAAGGAGGGCCTTCCGGAAGAGGGGCCTGGGGTTGGAAAGGTCTAGGGCAGCGCTAAAGATCCGTGTTTCAGGGTGTGGACTCCTGGCGTCCTCCAGGGCTCCAAGCACCTTTAGGTCTATAGAAGACCTGATCCGGGAAGCGACTGGCCACAGCCAGGCTCGCAGGGACCAGGATGAGACCCACAAGCGAGGGCGGGAGGTTTGTGCGTGTTACCCGGACTACCGGGGCTCTAAGAATGCTTTGGCGGCGGCGGCAGCCAATCAGCGGCGCGCGCGTGCAGCCGCGTGCCCCTCGCGCCCCTCACATCCCACGCGCGCCGCGTACGTGCGGCGGCAGACCCCGCCTCTTCCAGGCGTGGCTTAAGAACCCGCGGGCAGCGGGCCACGGCCGCCTAACTGCCGCCGCCGGTGCTTGTTTAGGTGCTGCGGTGGCGACTGCTCTGGTGGCGCCAAGGCCGAGCCCCAGGTGGAGGGAAAGCCCCGCCGGCGCCGCCTTCGTGCTGCGGCTCGGTGTCGGCGGCCCCTGCAGCGGTCCGGGACGTCTTGGTGGATGTGCGCATTGCCGGGGTGAGGATGCGGCTCTTCTACCAGCTGCTCAAGCAGCCAGTGCCCAAGCAGATCGAGCGCTACTCCCGCTTCTCTCCGTCACCGCTCTCTATCAAACAGTTCCTGGACTTCGGTGAGTGCGACGCCGTGGGGCCACCCCCAAGGCCCCGAGGAAGTGAGGGAGCCGCCATCCCGGCCCGCCTTGCTGCCTCAAGGCAAAGTCCGTGGGAACCGCCGGGCGGGGTGATGGGGATACAAGCCTGGGACTGTCCTGGGGCTGAGGTTTCGGGTTTCAGGAGGTGGAGGGGCAGTGCCTGACACCCCCACGTCCAGCTAGGTCCAAGGACCCTCATGCCAGTCGGAACTCCTCAAGCCATCCAACCCTTGCTTCAGATCTACTTGACTCAAACCGCACTGTCCTTAAAACTTGGGAAAGATCTCTTAAACGTTTTTATTTTTAGAGTTTTTAATGGTTAGGTAAGACGTTTAGAAACACCTTGAGGCTGAGGAAATCCTGAAGTGGCGTTTTGTTCTTTTTTTGCTGTAAGGTGTTGGGTAGCCTGGAGTGGCAGGACCTGAACGTCTCCATTATGATACCTTAAAACAGTCACAGTTGTGGGCTGCAAATACTTACTTTGTTGGGCAAGAGCTGACCTGTGGGCTCCTGGCTACAGAGCTGGGGTTCCAGGACAGCTCCAGCCTAAGTGTGACCACCTTTACTTGGTGTCCCTTGCACCCCGTTGGCAGCTGAGCCAGTACTTTGTGTACATGGATTGGGATGAGAAGGGAGAGGACCCCAATAAAGCCCGGGGCCTAGCTTAGGTGGGAATAGATTCTACCACCTTCCCTTAACTGATCAATCATGTTTCCCCAGAGGATGTCATTCCAACTCCAGCAGGCCGAATGCAGTTGTGAAACACCTGAAAATAAAACAAAAATGGAACTCAGCATTGCCGAAGGAACATCAAGATGACTTAGGCTCTCAAAGCCTGGATCTGTTTAATTCATTTGATTTAAAAATGTCCTGGAATGATGGGTTGGGTATCAAAGTGCAAATTTGGTAGAACCTTCTGGGAAGACCAGATATGCAAAATGTGATGTTGTCTATACTTGGGGGCAAACTTACAGGATGGAAAGAGAGGTATAAATTAAAGATTTAAGCTGATGCCAAATTAAGTTTTAGAAATCAAGCTGCCAAAGATAGATGATGAAAATCTAAGATGAGTGAGAAGTTGGCCTTTTTATCTTAAGTTTCATTTTCAAAAACTTTTCAGTAGTTGGACTCTACTCTCTCTCTCTGGCTACTTGTAAAATTTATTCTTAAACATTTTATGTATGTATGTATTTGTGTGGGTACACTGTCATGGTGTGTCTGTAGAGGTCAGAGGACAACTTGTGGGAGTTAGTTCTCTCCTTCTCCCATGTGGATCCCAGAGATCAAACTGGTGGTCAGGCTTGGCAGAAGATGCCTTTACTCACTGCATTTTATTATCCCACCCTGCTTGTAGAGTTTTAGAGGTTTGAGGCAGGTCCTGACTTCACAGCTTAGAATGAATATGTTGCTATTTCTATAAATAGGCATGTTTTTCTAACTTAGGGTATAGAGGTAATTTGAACATGGGAACCTTTTGTTAGGGTAAACTGAGACAAATTAATTCTCAGTAAAAAAAAGTACAAAAGGAATCTTGGTCACTCCCACATTCAACGTTTGTGATAGTTCGAATAGTGTGCCTGAAATTGCAGTTAATTGATTTCTGCGGCAGTTAATATCTCCCGTGTTAATAGGCATCTTGGCAAGGATGTTACTTGAGTAGGAAAGTTACAGTAAGGGATAGTGTTGTGGTGGATAATCTATGGGGCGAGTATCTAGAAATGAAAGTTACAGTAGGGGATAGTGTTGTGGTGGATAATCTATGGGGCGAGTATCTAGAAATGAATGTTCACTATTTTAAAAGCATTGAGGTCAGTGGTTTGGGGCCAGGGCCTCATGCTCTGAATTTCTGGTGTTAGTGTAGGGGTGGGATGTAGGGCACTGGTATTTTTAGAAGACCCAGGGTCATTCTAAAGTATCATCATGGTTAAAAACCATTAACTAGGCACACTTCTGGCTTATCTGCTGTCATCCTTTCTTCTGTGTGGAGTATTTGTTTAAGCCTTTAAAATAAGAGTTTCTTGAATTACATCTTTACTGGAAATTCAGTCTGCAAGAATAACAAGTATTCTAAATGGAGTATCATTTGCAAGGGCAGATTTAAAGAAAAAAATCAAATATCATATGTTCTTTTTCTGCTCAAGGTGACAGTTACATGGTTTCTAATTCAAAAGATGCAAAAGGACCTAGGCAGAAAAGGCCTTTTTTCTGCTTCTGTTGACTAGTCTTGCATAAGTTTCACCTTATAATTTTATTTGTATCTTGCTTTTTAAACGTAATACAAAAGAACTTACTTTATATGTACCTGTAAACATCTTTTTCCTTTTTATGACTTTTGAGAATTCATACGGTGTAGTGTAATTAGACAGCTCACAATTGATGGCTATTGAGATGTTTCTAGTCTTTGCTATGACAACAAGTACTACAGTGAATTATTGTGTACATTGTCATTTCACGCATGTCTGGGTGTTAGATAGAAGACAAATTCCTAAAGGTGACCTTGCTACATCAGGAAGAATGCACATTTGTAATTTTGATAATTGTGAGCAAATTCCTTTCCATAGGAGTTGTCTATTTATCTACCTACTGGAAGTTTCTGAGACAGACTTTTCCTGTACCTGGTTGCCATTCTTTTGATAGGTGAAAAGTCACGTTTACATAGAAATGTTTTTTCTTCAAGTAAACTGTATCCTGGTTTTTCATTATGGAAGATTGTAAATGTATAGAAGTAGAAGGGATAGTTGGATGGACTCAGGTTGTTACACTGAAAGCCATGTGCTACTTGTATATGTTTGTATATGCAGGCTGTTAGGTTTTCTTATCAAAGTTAGGTGTGTTTCAGAAAGACAACTTTTACCTTTTTTTTTGTTTGTTTTTGGTTTTTGAGACAGGGTTTCTCTGTGTAGCTTTGGAGCCTTTCCTGGAACTCACTCTGTAGCCCAGGCTGGCCTCAAACTCACAGAGATCTTCCTGCCTCTGCAATTTTTACTTTTTATTCAGTAACACTAATTTATTCTTTTGAGTTAACTGTTCTTTAAAGATTTGGTATATTCCTATGAAACCTTCCACAGCAATCTATGGTATTGGTCTGTATAGGTTTTCTGTGTCATCTGGAATCTCTTTGGATAGATTTTGCTAGAAAATAATTTTCATCAATATTTTTTGGCCAGTTTGGATAGATGATATAAACACAACATGCTTTTTTTAATCTTTCCATTTAGGAGCTCACTTTTTTGTGCTTTTAAAAAATTTGTTTGTCTTTTGACAAACGTATAAATGTATATAATAAATACATTCTTATTAGTTTCTCCTATCACTATTAACCCCTACCCCACAGTCCCTTTCCTAGATTCATGAATTTTGGTTTGGTTTTATGATCCATTTAATTGAACCAGAACTGCCTGGGTGACCATTGGATTGGAGCTTGGTAGGGTCTTATATTATTGAGACAGGGTCTGGAATCCCCCATGTAGACTAGGCTGGCCTCAAACTCAGATTTGCCTGCCTTTGCCTCCTTTGTGCTAGGATTAACAATATGTGCCACCATGCCCAGCTATATTTATTTATTTACTTTAAACAATCTTTGTAGCCCAGGCTAGTCTTGAACTCACAGTCCTCCATGGTCTTCTGAGTGCTAGGATTAGAGGTGTGCACCACTATATGCACTTTTTTTTTTTTTTTGGTTTTTTGAGATAGGATTTTTTCTCTGTGTAGCTTTGCGCCTTTCCTGGAACTCACTCTGTAGCCCAGGCTGGCCTTGAACTCACGGAGATTCGCCTGCCTCTGCTTCCCAAGTGCTGGGATTAAAGGCGTGTGCCACCACTGCCCGGCTATATGCACCGTTGATAGTAGTGTCTTAATGGTTTTCCTTTATTTCTTGATTTTCATCTTTATTTTCCACCCTTCTGCCAACCTTTATTTTAGTTTCATTTTGCTAGAACTCACCATGTAGACCAAACTGGCCTTGAACTCTTAGTGATACCTTTGTTTGAACTTTTTGAGTGCTGGAATTACAGGCATGAGGCACCAGACCTGGCTTCCACCCTCTTGATTGGGTTACCAGATGGTTTATTTGATTAAATTTATTTCTTAGTTTTATGGCTTTGATATTCCAGTTTATGCTTACCCTTGACCTTATTAAGTCTCTCTGATATCCTTAGATCAATTTTATTCTTTTTCTTTTCTTTTTTAAAACAAGTTGAAAACTAGTTTCTTTTTTGTCATTGCCTTTTATTTCAGGTCTTTTCTATTTTTTAGAATTTTCTGTATATAGATGTTTTACCTGCATGTATGCTTGTTCACCCCTGGCTTGCCTGGTGTGCGCAGGGGCCAGAAGAGGAAGTCAGATCCCCAGGAACAGCAGTTACAGACAGTTGTGAGTCACCATGTAGGTACTGGGAATTGAACCCAGGTCCTCTGGGAGAGCAGCCAGTGCTTTTTTTTTTTTTTTTTTTTTTTTTTTTTCCGAGACAGGTTTTCTCTGTGTAGCTTTGTGCCTTTCCTGGAACTCGCTTTGGAGACCAGGCTGGCCTCGAACTCACAGAGATCCACCTGCCTCTGCCTCCCGAGTGCTGGCATTAAAGGCGTGCGCCACCACCGCCCGGCTACAGCCAGTGCTCTTAACTGCTGAGCCATCTCTCCAGCTGCTCTATTTCTGTTCTTAAGGCTTAAGGCTGGCTGATTAGTGCTTTAGCTGCTGATACGTGTATTTGACCCTTACCTCTATCTTTTCTGTATCCTGGAAGATGTTTATTCTTTTATGAATTAAGGTTAGCTTGAGAATGTTGGAACTTCCATTGTAGGTTTATTATGTATATTAATTATCTTCAGTTTTGTTGAATGACTGCAGAATGTTCTCTAGGTTCTTTGACTTACTGATGTTTGTTGTGTGTGGTCATTTCTAGTGAGTGTTCCTTGAGTAGAAGAAAGAAGGCTATTCTTATTTGTATTTATATATACCATATTGTTATTTAGGCTTTTTT